TCCCAGCCCACAATCCTTGAATAAAAGTTGGGCTGTGCCTAATAGTTGGGATGGCAGTGTGGCTGAAAAGTGTTGCATACTTCTCGGCGGCCGCTACTTCTGCAGCTATCTCTCGCGCTCTTCCTTCTGTGTTTCCTCTTACTATCAAATAAATTCACTTCAAGTTTTCCTTTGCCGCTCTCTCTTTGCAATGCAATTAGCCAACTTTCGTCTTTTGTCCTCCAAAACTTTCAGACCATAAACGTGCAGTGCTCAAAAATTATCACACATACGCCATGTTGCCATTAGCAAGTGCCTAAGAAACGCCTCTTAGTTGTCCTAATGATGCCAGTGACGGGCACGTGCATACGATACGAGTAGAACGCGTTTTAATGGCCAAAGTAATGAAATTGTATGTCCTTAATGGGGGAATGGTGTATGGGGGCTCGCTGTGCAAAGGGCAGCAATGTCTTTAATGCCATATCATGCACGATTCGATAGAGAAAATTGGTCAGGCTAATCGCGTAATACTAAAGGCAACATCGGGCATCAATTATGGAACACACGAGCCGAACTGTGTTTTATACCACAGAACTTTAGTCAATAAATCAAGCTCGAGGCCAATCATCAATTATTTAGACATGGGTCAGCAAGTGTCATATACTGCTGGCACAGTCTTTCTATCTATATGACCTCCTCTCTCTCTCTCTCTCTCTCTCTCTCTCTCTCTGCGCTCACCTGTTGACATTTTTGCTGTTCTATTTCCGTGCGGCAAGCAAAAGTGTGTCTTACCTCTCTTTCTACCGCCACCTAGGTCTCTCTTTCACTCACTTTGTAGCCCTTTTGTGTGCCTCAAGTCTGTTGCCTGCTGTTTGCCTTATTGGCCCTTTTGAAATGTGACGACATTGCTGGCGGCTGGCTTTACACTGCCATTTCCCCGTCCAAGCCACTGAAATTGGCGCCATGCTGGTTGTCGTCGTCTGGCCCCCCGCCAGGCGGAGCCGTGCTTCTGTAGCTGCTAGCGTGGCCCGACTGTAGTTTGCTGTGCGTCCGATTATCATGTTTACTCAACACGCAACGAACCGCAACCGAACGCAAGAGTGTCCGACCTTATCACAGCGCCTATGCCTAATCGTTTGTCGTGGTTTCGGCTCTAGCTCCACGAGGACTTCTGCATATGCCGACGAGGTGAGAATAAACAATTTCATTGTATTCCCATGCTTGTGTTTAACCAACAAAGAAACGATTATTCAGCTGCGACCCAGACGGGTACATGGGCACACCATATGGATCAGTCGTTCATAATTAACACATGTCGATGCCTGGGCCATCGCGTCTCGAGATGCTGTCGGATAAACGCCCCACACTAAACATCTAAAGGGAAATTCGAAATTGTTTCCCCCAACAGGTTTCTGGCAAAATGATTTTCTTGCGATATTGCATATTTCATGAAAATACTTTTCCACATACTATAAGCAAGATATATACATATGAACATCTTTGTGTGCGTGTTTCTCCCCAGCTGCCGAGTGTGGATGTTGTTTTCTGTTTACTGGCTTCCTTACTGAATTATGCATGTATAATTCATGCAAATTTTCAGACCATTTTGTGTCCTTCAAGCGCTTGAAAATGCAGGAAAATGGCAGGACTATAGCCTGGAGAGGGGGGTGGATAATATGGCTATCCACAGTGATGGATATTTCTCATTTTGGCAGCCCATAAATGCTGGCTTCAGACTGCTCTTCCAGTAACTGTCGGACTAACGATGAAATTAAATGGAATTACGCTTACTTGCTGATGACCAGGCTTACGCTGATGCCTCATAAGAGACTGTAAAGCAGGGATTACTCGCTGTATGTGTTTGTGTGCTTTGGCGGGAGGTTAACGTGGTGGCCTGTTTTGCTGGGTGGTAATACGAGGGCCACAATAATGTGCTGCCCCGAAGCTTTCGTTTTAATTAACTGGGTTACCTTTCGGCCGGAGCCGCGCTCTTTTTGGGGTCAAGTAATTACAGCATGCTAGCAAACAACAGCAGGGATAGAGGAAGGCGGCTGACACCGAGTGTTGCAGCAAGTGGAAACTGTCACTGCAGTTGGAAATGCGTTCTGCCGTGTCCCTGCCAAAAGTCGTACATTCAAAAACTCTGCCCTAACTTCATTCCCAGTTGCTTTTGGCGCAGTTTTCCCATTCAATTTATTGCAGTTTTGCAGTTCTATATAAATACAAGCATTTAATGTTTGGCAACTTGCAGATGGGCGGCTGCCATTTCAATCAAGAAATATAGAAGAACACACATATACAGAAACAGTGGGACACGGACACAGGGCGGTAGACATCTCTTGGCCCCCAATTGTGATAGTGGTCTGCTGTCATAGCCAAGATGTTGATTTGTCAAATGGCCGCACAAATAAGGGTGAAATTAGAATGGGGGGAGGGTGAGGCAGCATTGGAGGAGAGCGTGAAATGAGCGCCAAGCGATAATTAAAAACTATATCAGGCCAAATAGCACGCGACATCTAGACAGAACAGAAGCAGAGCAAGCACTGGGTTGGCCATTCATTTAGCCATGCCAACTGCCATCTAGTGCTCTGCTATGTCTATGTGTGTGTGCGTTTCTATTTATACATACATTTATGCACATGTATGTGTGTTTATATTTGTGAAAACCGGAAGCGCAGCGGCATGCAAAGACGCCATAACCGCCATGACGAACAGCAGCAGTAAGCAAGGCGAATATCCGCGCGGAACCCGTGCGTGTGCGGGGGTCAGAGGCTATTCGTCCTGGGCCAACCCGTTGGCTGACATGGCGCCAAAATCATTCCGAGGGCTGACAGACAACTAAAGCAAATGCGTACGCAAAAATATTCCACGTACAGGAAAAATCATAATCAAGGTCAGGTCTCTCGGGAAAGCAATCGCAATCTAAGTATACACCTTAACAGCTCCCTTGGGCGGGCAGTAACAGTGTGCGGGCGGCATATTCCCTGTATTTAAGTATCGATACATGTAACCATGGAGAATGTCTTTGTATCTCAGGGAAACCATTAGTTGCGCTCATCAAAGTCGAATGTTTCAAAGAGCACCTAGATCTTCGCCAATGGCCAGTTTTTTTAAGTCACAAACTATGGCCCCCCACCCTTCTTTAGCTGCCATCTCCCGGCAACAGAGGATGAGCTTTCCCTGTGGTTCGTTTAAGCATTATGTAGCTTTATTAACCCTTTTCCTTCCACCGCAAGAACGTCTCAATTCCTCAATCCCCCCTCGGGTGTGGGGCAGAATTTATGCGCAAACTAATTTAGACAAAGCCGCACTCAGGCCGCATAAAAATAGCACGGGCAAATTGGGCCCGTGTTGCCACAAAAACCGCTCCGCTCAGCAGTTGGAGTGGCGCCTCAGCAGCAGCAGCAGCACTGGGGCAGCATCAAAGGGAGTCACGTTGGGGGCCCAAAGGATTGTGTACGTGTGTTTGTATGTGTGTGGGGTCTATGAAGTGTAGCTGCTTAAAAATATACATAACCGCAGCTGCCATGGCTGTCGAAAACCTGGTATTCCCACTTCCTCTAGGGCCAGATGACAATTCTGCAGCACTGCTTGCCCACTGCCCACTGCCCTCCACCTCTCCACTGTGGCCAAATGATGGCTTATCAATAGGTAAAGCAACACTTACACATCCTGTCACATCCGTGCCAGAGCTCTCTGGCTGGGAGAGGGAGTGGAGTGTACCAGTGTAAGTGCGACTGTGCTTGGCGGTGTTGTGTGTGTGTGAGGTCACCAAGACGAATGCATTAAAATTTTGGTGCCAGAGACGTCCCGTCCTCCGCTGCTCGCTGGCGCTTCAGGTTTCTCATCGCATTTCGGGCTTTCATTGGTCTGCTCCTGCTCCGCTTTCTCCCTCTCCTCCCTCTCTTGCTTTTCAATTGTACGGCCTGGTTATGCTTTCAGAGCTATTTCCATTTGCGGTTTTGGTCAAATTTGCTTCTAGAACACTGCACTGCACTCGATTAAACCTTTTTGAAAACAAACACGCAACATAAATGGTGCGCGCGGGGGCTGCGAGCTCGTTCCAGGACTCTGCGTACGGAACGGGTAAACGTGTTTGCTTTCATTGAATGGCGCGTCCGCGACGACGTTGCTCCATCCGAACTCGTGGAGAGTTTTTGCGCAAGTGGGGCTTTTGGTCTCTGGCGGCAAAAAGAGAAAAAAGAAAAAAAAGAGAAAAACTTTTCGAGCTTTTTCAATTTACATTACATTTACATTTTACATGACACATAACACTTGGCATGTGTTCTACATCTGAACTTTTATCTTGTTCGCAGCCGGACAGGCAGGTAAATTCTAGTTTGTGTAAAGAAAGCCCAATGAAAGCGATTTAAGGCGCTGATCTTCCAACAGGGCAATAACATCAGCGACACTTGTGGGAGGCAAGCTAGTGACAAACTCTCAGCCTCGAACATCTTCATGAGCTGCTACAACAGTTACATGCAGCACCCCAGGCCTGAGAAGGAGCGTTACAGGGATCGTCAGCCAAGCGACCCGCTCCAGCAGCAACAGCAGGGCTGTTTAAGCTTCCTGCTGAGCGCCTGTGTGAGTATTTTGTAGGGAGGGACCGAGAGGAACTGAGGTAATTTTCAATAATTCCATAATACAATTTATTAGCTAAATGCATGCTGAAAAGCTATCGCTGGGCCCTCTCAACAACCTTAAACGCATAACTCCCACAAGCAATATGCCAGCGAGATCGTATGGAGAGAGAGAGAGAGAGCATGGTAGACAGATAACGCGAATTAGCTTGAGCCGAACACGAAGCCGAAGATGGGCTGATCCAAGTCTGTTATATAGGGTGATGGATTGTCGCCGGGAAGTCGCATACATACACTCACACTAATCATATTGCAAAACATTAGGAGAGCACTCTCGCACCTTTTATTAACATACCGTCGGCTTACCAGCTTCGGCCGGTGCCAGTGACAGCACACACGATTCCAGCACCGCTGCTCAATCACTCGGGAGTTTCTCAGCCGCATGGATCGTGCGCTCGTTGGCCATCAGATTGAATGCAGATTTTGAAAGTGTTCTGCAAAGTGCTTATTGTGTTGTAAATCAATTACATCTCTAATTAAAACTCAACCATTTTGTGAATACTGAAGACTTGCGGCTGGCTCGAAAGTCTTTTCCATCTTACAACGAGAAAAAACCTTTCAAAAGGGACATCACGAGAGGAGGAGGAAGAAAAGACCGGTAAGTAGAGGCATGCTTTAGTCGGCCCCTGCGCTTTGTCTGCTGTTTCTCCGTGCGCCATTGCATGAAAACTACCGTTATCAGTGTGTAGGCGGGGTCAACGTCGCAGTTAGTTTTTGCGCCTTGCACTTTATACTTTTGCTGCAGTTCTTCGCCCTATCTCTTACTTCCTCCTCCTACTTCTCCTACTTCTCCTGCTTCTCTCTGCTCCTTCTTCTTCGGCACATCTTTCGAAACGTTACACTGTACAGCACAGTTCTGGACCTTATGTAGGTGTGTCTGAGCGTGTGTGCTTTTTGCATTTCGATACACTTTGATCCCACGAAACAAATTTTTGATAATTTTATTATTTTTGCTGTTTGATTGTACTTTCGCGTACTTTCTGGGCGATGCAATAAGCGCTATAAATATAAAATAAAGCAATGTGCTGCTTGTGTAACTGTATTTTAAAGACCAGACTTCTTCCATATGCAAATGAACACGAATACTTACTATAAATGATTGGACACAATGGAAACTACAATCAAAGTAATGCAATTAATATAAGCTGAACTTTAAGATATTGTTTAGACCATGGGAGTACTGGGAGACTTCCTCTAAAGAAACATACATACATATGCAATAACTGATAACTTTCCTCCAGCCCATTATCAGAACTACTCATAACCTCCCACACCATGATTTCGAAACATCTCCGAAAACATGTCTCACGGCCGCAGTCGATGCTACGAACTATTCTTAGCGATTCCGTTTGCTTCCAAGCGGAATCGTACAAAGTTCAGATGTTCTAATTTTATATTACTTAATTTGTTTTGATTTTTATTATTTTGTCTTACCTTTTTGTTGCTTTTGGTAATTTTTTGTCGTTAGTCATTGCGGTGGAAGGCATAAAGTACTCGTTATATATGTACATTTGAAGCTCTAATATAAGTTTCGCCAGGCAGCAGCAACAAAAAGTACAAAAGCGGGGCTCAAAAGTGGAAAAGTGCGATGTGCCGATCTGGAGCGATAAGCGGATCCACTTTCGGGTCCACCGACAGACGACAGACAGTTCCCGGTTCTGGGCAACTATCCCAAGTCTATGAGAAGTCCGGTATTCGGGTTGCTCGTCTGGTAATCACGCGGAACGATAGCGATCTCAGGACCCGACTTGTACCTTAACGATTCTAAAGTAATTAGCGAAAATCTGTTGCGCAATAAAATGTAATATATGGCAGAATATAATCAGAAAACAAAAATTAAAAGTAAAAGTAAAATGAAATGAAATCAAATGTCTATTAATCACACACAGTCGCAGCATCAACATGGCGCAGGAGACAGAGGCAGTAGCGGGAGTCAAGGGTCAGCCCCGAGACCATATCGAGGAGGATGAAGTCAGCGAACTGCACCGGACACGCAGCTTTTACGACGGAGTGCGAGAGCAGGCCGAGCGCTTTGCTAGCACGCGCTTGGGTCAGTTCATAATCGAACGCGGGGATCGTGCGCTTCGGATGATCGAGGACACGGCCAAGTGGAGTCTGCCGCAGGGTAAGAAACAACACCTACTGGTAGACATCCCTAATAGCTTTTCGAAAATTAATAATTCGCAGAAAAATCTGCTGATCCCTTGCAACGGCCTCTGCCCTGGGGTCCGTTCCTGTTTCTGATCATTATGCTGCGCCTCACGCGCATGTGGTTGTCGCTGGGCGCATTGATGATCGGCAACAGCCCCATCTCCCCCTCCGACTTGGTCTATTTCATTCAGACCAGGCGCCGCAAGTTACGAGCCATTCGAGTGCATGGTCTAAAGGTGATGCGGCAGCGCCAGCAGGAAGTATCCTACGGCAGTGGCAAGGGCTTGACCCATAAGCTCACCCAGTGGTTTTCCCGGGCTATGTGCCGCCCTGGCGTACAGAAGGCCAACAGCGGGCGACTCTTCCAGGTGCGCAACATGGAGCAGGTGAGTCCTTGAGTCATTCCCGATTAAGAAGTGGAGGAAGTAAGTGCCATCTCCATCCGCAGACTACACAAACCAGTCCGGCTGTGATGAAGCGTCCGCGTGAGGATGAGACGAACACTGATCTTGAAACCGACCACAACCTTACCATCGACCAAATGCTGGCCAAATACGCCCTGGAGAACTCGGAAGATGACTCTGACTTCGTGCCCAATCCCGATGAGGAGGAGGAAAGCAGCGACGGCACCAGCTCCGAGTCCAACACCAGCGAGGAGATCAGCAGCGATGAGGCAAATGATATTGCCGATCAGGTATGATATCACATTAGCCATAGCCATTAGCCATAGTCGATGTTCCTCCTTCAATTTGGATTCTTCCCAGGCCACACGAAAGCCCCCAGCTTTGGTGGTGGAAAACGGTGTACACAAGGCAGAACCCAACGAGAGAAAAGACAAGGAGATGGAGATGGCAAAGGAAAATGACAAGGGGAAGCTGAGCGCCACGACAACCAGCAATGGCGGCCACGACAAGGAGCAGGCGGAAGTTGGTAATGGACATTAAACTGTTATTAAGACGCTCGTGCGTAGCCCCCTAAGCCTAGGTTAACACCAGTATCGAATATCGATTAAGCGTAGATGAAACTGAACTTGAAACGTTGTCATGAAATACAATACAATAACGATACCAATACACAATATACTCCCGAGATCGATTCAGTCATTGCTAGTGCCAGATCTAAGGGGATCTCCCAGTGGATCTTGGCCATATCCATCGTCCATCAATCCATCCATCCATCCATCCAGCCATCTGTCATTCCGTCCAGTTTTGCAGTATACGAAAATTCCAAATTTACCTTAAGAGTTTTGTGAGTTTGGCTTTGACCTTCCGTTAGCTTCTTGATTCCCTGACCTTGTATCTCTCTCTCTCTCTCTCTTTCTGTTCGTCTATGAATGATTTTTACAGCAGGTGGGGCCAGGCTGGAGGAGGACAAGTGGAAGTCCTCGCCGGGACACATGAGTGCTGCCATGACGAAAATCCAATCCTACAACAGCACGGCAGCTGCAGGTAACTCACGAGATATTCGCTCCCACTCGATGGCAGTTGAAACCGAGTTGATCGAGTTCTCCCAATTAACATTTTAACGTTAGTATTCTGTCTCTGCTTCTGTTACTCCGTGCATGTGTTCAAAACCAACAGCCGGCACTGAAGCAGCAGCCCCATGCGAACCCGAACCTGAACCTGAAACCGAGTCCGAATCCGATCCCACACCTGATCCTCAATCCCAATCCCACGATGAGTCAGACGATGACGGTAGCAGCACGAGCAGCAGCAAAACTGGATGCACAGTCTACCGAAGGGAGACCACATTCGAAAAGACCCAGCCAGATACCCAAACCGAACAGACCAGTGAAGTTGCTGCCACACTAACTACCCAAGTATCCAACTATCCCACAATCGACACACTAACACCAGCCACCTCCTCCGAAGATATATTCTATAGTCCAATTGGTTTGTCCCTACAAATATTCCACCAATCATGCATGCTGCTAGTCCTTCTCTATATATCTGTGTATAATCATGTTGACTGTAAATATTTTGTCCCATTACAGGATCACCAACCCTATTTAATACCAGTCTGGGGACTCAGGCTCTGCTGAAGAGTGTGAGCATTCAATCTGTCTTGGGTAAGCAGTAAGTTATCTTCTGCGTATCCCCTAACTAACCTGTTTATTTGATCAGCACACTCCACTCCCACCTTGGAACTGGAAGATGTGGCCTCTGAAGCACCCCCCCATCAGCCTGAACCCGAGATAGCCCCATCGCAGCAGAAGCAGCCACATCAGCAACAGCAGCAGCAGCGACAGAATAACTATTCCCACCAACGCTATCGCGGACGCAACAGACGCTAAGCGATAATGCATTCTATCTATCTATATATCTATATACATTTCCTTACTTTTTTACTTTAAATTCCCATATTGTTAGTGAATATCGTACTGCGAGTAAATCTCTGAACTCAATCGACAGTCTGTACTTGAGCGTAGGCAAAATATCACAAGGATTCACGAACACCTTCGACGGGCAAGAACTTGAAGCGGATGTCGCCGCAGGGCGACAGGATGATGGTGCTCTCGTACTGGAGGGGAGCGTTGGGCAGCCAGTTGACGTGGTAACGACGCAGAAGACGCACCAGTAGGGTCTCTATCTCCAGCTCTGCGATGCGCTTGCCGATGCAGGTGCGAGGTCCAAACCCGAAGGGCAGGTACACAAACGGATTGCGGGTTCTGGCTTCCGGACAGGCCAGGACATCGCCAGCTATGTCCGCCTTGAGCCAACGCTCGGGGATGAAGTCCGCACTCTGGGCAAAGTACTCATCGCTGTTGGATAGCTCCATGACGCCCATTAGGACGCCAGTGCCTCGGGGCACCTGATAACCGGAGAGCACCAGATCTTTGGTTGTGATGCGGAAGTTTCCAGGTGTGATTGACGTGATGCGTAGTCCCTCCTTGATGCAGGCTCGCAGATAAGGCATGTTCTTGGTGCTCTCATCGGTCAGCGAGCCCTTGGAGTCGGGCAGAATGTGGAGAAGTTCTCGGCGCAGTTGCGATTGTTTTGAGGGATTGCATGCCAAGTGATAGAGAATCGTTACAAAGGCAGAAGAAGTCTGGAATGATTCGAACTTTGTCATTAAGAGATCTTTACAGATCTTTACAGTATCATCCCACAAACCGTATCGATTCCGGCCATCAACATATCCATGGCCATCACTACGGCCACCTGCTTGTTAAGTCCCAACAACTGTTCCAGGACGCATTTGTTCTTGCGGCCGTCATCGATCTCAAAGCGTTGAATGGCCTCTTCGATGTAGTTGGTGGTGATCTCAGTTATGTCGTCGTAGGTCTTAAGAAACCGGTTGAAGCCCCGCGTCTTGTAGTAGGGCCAGATCGAGGGTTGCACATCGTACTGGAAGCTGTAGTTGAAGAAGTCGCTCATGTGCTTGGCCAGGCGAGCGGCGTTCGGATCCGGCTGATCGCTGAGCAGACCCATGCGTGTGTTTAAGGCCACAAAGCTGATGGACTCAAAGGCCCAATTCTTCAGCTGATCATGGAAGTCAGCCTGGAGCAAGTGGGTTTCCGGATCCCTCTGACTCTCCAGTCTGGAAAGTGTATAACCACGTAAGATACTTTATCTTTTTTGGGAGACTCGTCGTACTTATCTATGAACTGCTTCGCTATCTGATCAAGCTGCGGCAGATTCTGTCTGACGTTCTGAACCTTCATGAGCACAGGATTCACCTTGTTGCGGATGTCTGCCCAGTCCTTGCCCTGTCTGGAATTGGGTACTGAGGAGGTAATCTTCAGGTCTACTGGACTTCATTCAGACTCACTCTGATACCAGACCACCAATGCCTCCAAACACATCCGGTCGCTTCACCTTGCGGTAGTAGCTGAAGCTTTCCAGGCCGATGCGTATGGGCCAAACGCCTTCGTTGCGGTAGGTCAACTCAAAGTCCTCTGGATTATATGTGAAGACTACATCTGGTTTGCCCATCAAGCCCGGCAAGCGATAGATATCCCCGTACATCTCTCGTAGGCGACGGTTCATTTGAATGAGGTTTGTGTTGTGCAGTTTGCCTGGGGGAATAATCGCTCATAGGGTAACGGAATAAATGGAATTTTTTCAGTCTTACCGCCTGGCAAAAAGTAGGATAGCATGCGCCAACCATTGGGTCCGGGCAGTTCCCCATAGGACATCGCCTGCTGCCATCTCTCATCTGTGCGCGTTGGGGACTTATCCAGCAGTTCCAAGTGGGTCTGTTCGTAAGAAAAGTTTTCTTCTGTGTTTGTAAACAATTACCGCTCTCTGAAAGCTCGTCAAACTTTCGCTCTCATTCTGCATCTATCAGCCTATCTCGCTCGCTCACCCACTCACCTGCTGACCAAGCGTCCCACCCAGTGACAGGTCTCTGGCATTAAACAGCTGATGGGCTGCACTTTGGCGCCGCACTGTTTTCATAGTGTTTTTCCACATCACTAGTCAGACACAAGTCAAACTAGTTGTTATTATATATAGTGCAATAATAAAGAGATATGGAAATTGAAATAAAACGAGGAGCCACCGCCGGCCAACAAGCAAAAATTGAAACTGAATCACAGGCCAAACGACGAGCATGATATTAGACTTAGGTTGAGCTTTCTCTCTGTCGATTTGTTTGCACCAGTGAAAGCTTTTCATACCCAATAATCGTAAAAGCAGCGGGTATATACGTTTAAAGAATGCCAACCGTTGTGAGCTTAAAATTAAAATTCTGCTCGTGCCCCTACTTGAGCGTAAAGCGGTGCATACTATGGAATCAACTAATCAAATGTATAATAGATGTATGAACATTTATGACATGAGATCTTATACACTGCTTTCCTTGTCAGCTTTGCTGCGAATTAGTGTTCGTAGCCGTCTCTAGACATATCTCCCGGCTACCAGTCGAAGAAGTGAGGCACAAACTAAATTAGATCTGAAAAGTGTTCTTTCAGCATTCTTTTCATATAAAGCTATATGTATCTGTTTCTGCAGTTAGTTGAATGTCATATAAATATTACTGACATAAATCTCATAGTTGACTGAGGTATGAAATTTTATAAAAACTTCCATACAAAATAAAATATTGGGAACACGCAAAAATACCCAATCTAGGGAGGCTCTGAGCCTGAACGTGATCCAAAATTTGTTTAGGTCGTTCGCAAAACCCAGGGCTTAGTTCATTCTAGTATTTCTCTCCGTACAATACACACCTATAGCTCAGAAAAATAAAATTGTAAAGTTTTTTTTTTTAATATTTTTCGAATCAGTACACAGTTTTTTTCATATACAAAATATTTCACAGTCCTCCGTTTTTTGTGTCGGATTTTTGTTTCGTAAACTTTGTTTTGTAATAATGTCTGAAACCGAAAATTCATCGATGTCATCGGAAAGCGAGGCCCGTGACTCGGCTCTCCCAGCTTCGAATGGGATGCGATCGGCTGCCGCTATTCGAAATTACATGGGTGGATGCAAACAGCGGTTTGGGCCCGCACACAAGAGAAAAGCTGTGCTGAATCTGGCAGCGCAGCGGTTGCGCCGGATGTCTCCAGAGCACGTAGCCCGGTCCCGTGAGGTACGTTCTTTGCATCTAAATCTACCCGTCATCTAATGCAACAGCTCGTCTTTTGATCTCTACAGCCAACGTCTATGTTCTTGCCTATAGAAGCGCTTAGTGACTGTGACCTGGAGCCCTCGTATGACGGTGGGTGTGGCGTGAAGCCGAAGAGACGTATAAGCTCTAAGCGCAAGCCCAAAGGTTCATGTGGCAATAGCCACAGCAAGCGCCCGAAGTCCTCAAGTGTTAAACGCAGGCGCCGGATGTCTGCGCCTTCTAAGAAGTCCAAGCGCGATGCCAAGCATGGCTGTGGCAAGAAGCCCAAGAAAGCCAGGAAACCCAAGAGGCCCGTTTGCTAGACAAAGACCGCATAAAAAAGAAAATGAACGAAGAATGAAAAAAGAAAACGAAGAAACGAAACAAAATCATCGCGCGAAAGATAAAACAGAGCTTGGAATGCCCCAACCCCAGCCACCTACGAGCAACCCATCCTCAGCGCCTGCGGGTTATGATTCCAGGTGCCCATATATCCATCGAGGGATAACGAGGAGTCGCTAGAGAGCATCGTGCAGCAGGAGCATGCATTTGACTTCCATTCCGATCCGGAGGCCGCGCATGCCGTGCTGCTCAGAACACACTGTCCGATCACCATTATACCTTCGGAGCCCTGTCTTCAAGAGCGTGTAAACATGCCCATTGTGAGTAGATGAGACGAAGAAGAGACCCCTCTGGATAGAAGGTGCACAATTAATTTTATTTAGTTTTCCCGTAGCATTGTCGCCTGGAGGCCGTCGTCCGGCATACGGCCACACTCTGCTGAACCAATAGCTGCCCATGATCGATTCCTGCAATGCTATTGTGGTGGCAGCTTGTATCTTCCACAAAAGTGGGAAAAGTATCCGGAAAATGTGCGGATCATCGAGCTGGTAGAGGCCGAGTTCCTCAAACGAATTGTCGATTGGGTGGCGGTGTTAGATGGTGGGGACATTTCCGATAAAAAAAAAAATATTACATCAAATAAATCCATAAAAATGCATGAATATCGTAGTCTAGATTCTTTGTTTATTAGTGTGCCGAAATCTATCTCCTGCTCGAAATCTTAGCGGTCAAGATCCAAGCGCTCATTATTTATGTTAAGTGAATATATGTAATTCGCGTCGATCGATGTGGAGCGAGAGCCGCGAGTTCTCAGTCACCAGAGTCTCCGGCATTTCACTTTCATTCTGGAAGAAATTTTGCAGTCGAAAAGGTATCGAACTACTGGTTGATTACATTCATTGCATGAAGTGGATTGGAAATTGACTGTGGTTGTCAAAAAATGGAAGTGGAACTCCAGAACTGGATATCGTATCCGATAAAATATAGATATAAATATAGATAAAATATTTAAAATATAGAATAACGACATCTACCTTTGCTATTACATCGTCTTACATGTAATGTAATCTGAGAACTTGTCAAATTGGGCGGCTAAAATGTCAACGGAAGCTGTAACTATCTCTTACGAAATCCTTAAAACTCTTCCGTTTTGTTTGAATTACATTTATTTATTGCATGCGGTAAAATGTTCCATAGCTTAAAATGTGGATTTTTTGTTGGTTTTCTTACAGTTGTTTTGTTGAATTTATTTACGATTTGGGTGTTTCTTTTTTTTTTGATTTGTTTTGTTTTGTTAATACTTTTTGTATGTATGTACATTGAAAATTTGAATAAGTTGCAAAGAGTTGAGTTACAGTTAGAGTTAGAGTTAGAGTTAAAGTTAAAGAAATAGAGTTGATTTTTAAGGTACATTATAGTTTTGAGTTTTGCACGTTCAATTTAAGTAGACAATACATCAATAATATCAATTTATCAATATCAATGGAGGATCTAGAGTTGAGTTAAACGTTTGATATGTATTTGGTATTTGCAATTGGCGTAGTTCAAGTTTAAGTTCGAGGACAAAATGCAACTACAAATCGCTCTTAAGATATACTCGTATTCACGATATATACTATATATATATATATATTTAATTTTTTTACTATAACTAATATACTTTGAAAATGGAAATGGTTGAGATTCCCATTCAGTTTCTGGTTAATGTTGTCTTCTCTGTATAAAAATATAAACAAATTAGAAATGTTCGTTGTCTTTGCTATAATATTGGGGTTTGCTTGGTTTTTCAGAATCGAGTGTAAATAATTCGTAACAAACAAATGAGAGTAAAACATTCTGCGGAGGACCTTCAGTCTTGCTTTGATTTGATATTGCTTGGTTGGTTTCATTCCTTTCGTGGTTCCTTTGTCATTGAGAGATCAGCATGGGGTACATTTACATATCGTATATAAGTAAATATCTGTAAAAACAAGGCTTATGCATCTCATAGTCTATTTCCTGTTTAGTACTGTTATTAAGCGCTAGTCGAGTTCTGTGCTGAAGATCCCTACAAACCGGTACACGAACCAAAGGGGGAGGTACCTTTATTCATGTGTAGTATATGTATGTGTGTATATCTGGGTTATAAAAGGAAAGTGGATCACCATCGAGAGTGTTATCCTAAGTAGTTCACACTGAGTTTGATATGCATTACGAAATTTTTAGACATTAGCTAAACCGCCGATATGTATGTGTATATTATAAGATTATCTATAGGCAGAGTTCGCTCGTTAGGAATACAAAATAATCTGGCTAAAAATGCATTAAAAAACTATCTGTAATAAACTTACGCACTATGTGGGTGCAGTTTACTCATCTGTAAAGATATCTCTATACTTTTTTCCTTTGGTTTTTGGTTTAGGCAGTGCATCATTAATCTAGGATAAGGGCATAGGTATGTATGTATTCTGCTAAAAGTTTGTCTAAGACGATTCCAATGACACATCGCACGCTAAGAACTAGGTCAAAATCTAAATCATTTACAATAAAATTGATGCTCAACTTACAGGCTAGGATACAATGTATGTATGTATATAATAATATATCTGTATATATGTATATTTGTTGTGTATATTTGCGCTGACGATTGCAGCTGATATGTTTCGATTTCATGGTTGGTTTAGCTACCGATATGTATCATGACGTAGAAATGGCATTATGTATAATATGTCTGTCTACCTGTCGAGCATACTATATGTATATAGTACTGTACTCTATATACATAGATATATAGATGATATGTTTGGGTTTGTGGTTGTTTCCATATGCACACATTTAATTCAGCCGACTGTTAGTCTAAATACATTTTTAATTTCCTCAAAGTGGGGCCTTCCTACCTCCACTGGCTGCTTGTCTCACCTCATCTCTCAAATTGCCTCTACCCTCTCTCTCCCTCTCTTTCTCGTTCTCTTTCGGTTGCAATCATTTTCAATTTGTCTATGCTTATATGCTATAAAATCACATTTAGTTGCTTAATTAATTTTTATGCTCTCAGACACTCGTACACACACACTCACACTCGCATGTGGCAGAGAGAGAGGTGCTGGCACTCATCCACTCCACACATAAACGGACGTACAAAACGTGTAACCTTCGAACATCATGTATAGTATGTAGATATTGCTTTTATTTCGCTATATAGACGCTGTGTATATGGGCTTCAGATATGTGATTCTGAGGGACTATATACGAGTAGTTGCACCATTCACATTTTCATGGCCTGCTGCACATCGAAATGCGTACAGTACACTATATTTCCAGTGTTTTTTCCCTTCTTGTTCTTTTTCTCATTTCCTTTCTATAGTGCGAAGGCAAATTTGCATGCGTGGGGCCGATGGGGAGGCAGGGCGGGACGGTAGCTGGTGGGTTACGGGAAATGGGAATGCAATTTTTCAATACGCGCGCATAATTGAACTGTCAGAGCACTTGGATGGGTGTGTGGCTGGGTGGCTGGGTCGCTTGATGGCTGCATGCTAGGCTCCGCAAGTGCGGACCCGGCCAGGCAGAAATGTTTCGCGAAACTCCGCAAAATATACAACGGGTAAACTTTGCCTCCTCTTTTTCCTGATGCCGCTGCCGCTTCTGCTCCCCGGTAATTAAAATTGCTGTACCAGAGGTCCAAAGGATTGACCGCTGGCTGGCCGATTTATTTGATGGGATGGGATGGTGATGATGCACTTCGCACTGCACTCAAAGGTGGAGTCCCTCAGTCCATGTTTCTCAGTTAGGAATTCTTCAGCGCCTACTCCTCGGGCCAGCCGAGATCCTCGCCCACCAGCTCATAGAAGCGTTGGTTGTATTCGGCAAAGAATCTGCGCAGCCTGGAGACCACCACCGGGTCCACATGCGGATGCTTTCGGCCCTTGGTCTCGCGCAGGCAGCGATCTCCATTGTCGTAGCGCAGGCAGTAGAATCCCTTGGTCTCGTTAAAGTAGAAGTGCTCGCTCTTCACACGATGCTCAATGCCTGGGAAAGATAAAAGCATTCAAATAGAATCCCAGGGAGTACATATGTGAGGCCTACTCACCCAAGAACGCCTCGATGCGCCTCAGCTGGGAGACCGGGTCCTCGATGAGGCGATCCCCGTTGACCACCAGCAGCTGTTCGCGCGGAAAGACTTCCAGCCAGCGGTGCAGATGGACATGGTACATGGATATGCTGAGCGGTCGATAAGCCTCGTTAACGGTGCCATTGGGAAATATGGCCAGCTCCTCAAAGGACCTGCAAAGTGGTGGGAAAGGGGGTGTGATTTAAATTTTTCTCTCAGGCAAAGCGAAAGAGAAGAATGGCAAATTGAATCGCCAACAGCTGCAAATGAGCAGTCATGCCTCGGTCTACACTCCATTTTCCCCAGTTAAACAGAGTCCTGCCCCGCCCCAGCCCCAGCCCCAGCCCCTGCCCCTGTCTCTTTATCTCCGCCAAAAAGTGAGGCCGCAAGAAGCAACTTTCCACTGCAGAGCGACAGGGATGGAGTGAGCCAAGGACAAGAGTCGTCGCATTTTGGGCAACTTTCATTTGCAGTTTGCATTTCATTTGCATGCCAAGCAGCCCCGAGAATGGTGCGAAGATGGGACTGGGTGAGGGACTGCGTCTGAGCCTGAGACTGGGTTCACTTCACTTACTTGGCTGCCAGTTGGGCGGCACTTGCCATCGGCGATGGTGTTGTCGTGGTTATCGTTCCGCCAGCTCCAACTCCAACTCCAGCTCCTGCCGGCCGCCTGCCCGCGACGCTTAACTTTGTCTTTGTCTCCTTGGCGCCCGCCCCACTGCCACCGACCAGGGCATTGTCATAGCCATGGGCCGCCTGCAGCTTAGCATACAGCAGCGACTGTGATGGCATCTTGGGAGGCTGGGCGGCTGCCGCGGAGGCGCCACTGCCGGAGCTCTCCCGTTCGGCCAGCGGCAGGATGGCAGTGGCCGCATGGCTGCGCAGCTGGGTGTAGTCCGAGATGGCCCTGGTCACTGGCTCGCGGACAATCAGCAGCAGCTTGATGCTCGCGTTCATGGCCCGCACTCGTTCCGGCACCTGCAATGGAAATTTAACATAATGAATTTAGAGGCAATGCTCAATGGAGGGAACTAATTAAAACAGAGCGGCTTTTTCCTAAGCAGAGCGGGAGGCTCTGCCTCTGGCCCAATCAGGGCATACATATACTCTGCCTGTCCTCCGGTCTATCTCTTGGCCAACTATTTTCACAATTTAAAAGTCGCAATCTAAATGAAGCTCTTCTCAGGCTTTTTTCAACGTTTGCAGTATAGTACGAGTGCTAGGAGGCCTTTAATATGCTGCATAGTGTAGCAGGCTGCCGTCCTGGGCGCCCCCCTGCTGCTGCACTTCCGCAACCAGTGTACTGTGAACAATTTAATTAAGCCGGAAAATATTGCCGTACAATAAAAGGCGGGCAGGCAAGGCGGCATGGCCCAGCCCCAGGAGCAGGCCGTCACCCTCCCTTGAAGTCCTTGAATCTGCCACGATGAACGTTGAGTATAAATAGCCTCCCAAATGGGCGAAACGAGCCGAGTAAATAAACTTAATCAATTTCAATAAAAGCCTCCTGCCCCACTGCCACCAGCACGGGCCGTGCAACAAGTTCCGAACTTGCTGTCGTTCTTTCAGAATAATTCACGCTGATGAACCATTTACAGTCTTCTCTGGTGGGAATTTTGTATTCCCTTTAAACTTTAATGTGGGGAAAATGCATTTGGAGCGACCCACAAACGAAAAGCGCACGGAAAATGTCATATGGCAATGCGTGCCCTGCTGCTCCTGGAGGAGGGAGGAGGGAGGAGGTTCTCGCAGGTTCTGGCAGGTTCTGGCTGAGGCCAAAGCACGCCCCGGAGAAATATATTATTTATGGCGTGGGACGGAGGTAAGGAGGCATCTGCCGACGAGAAGCGGAGGATAATTTGATATATTCCGCAGAGTTTTCAAGGGAAAAGAGCATTAGCTGACGGGCCCCAGATGCAGATGCAAATGCATCCGCTCTCAATCAATATTAATAACAGCATTAATGAAGATTTATCCAACGCACAGTACTCTTTGGCACTTGCCACGTGCAACCTGATGCTGCTGCATAACAAATTGAAATGGTGCATCAACCGACGGACGCGCACGGCAGTAAAAAGGAAAATTGAAACGGAACTCTGGATAAAATATTGCCCTGCCCGGGCCCTGTCCCTGTCCCCCCACTTTCCACTACCACCGTTGGAGTGCTCTCTGCAAGTGACACATGCAACTTCCGGCTCGTAGCGAAATTGCATCAGACAAACCCAATTTTGTGACACTCTGCGGGCACAGCAGCAACAGAGGCAGCAGCGGCAGCAGCAGCGGAAGCAGGAACAACAAAAACTATAATAAAAGTTGGCCAAAGAGCGATTCCACTTGGGCGTTAGACGAAGCCGTTTGCCAAATGAATTTCCGCTCTGGGGCCCCGACATGGGCACGGAAATTGGCTGGGACATGGTCGAGCGTTTCATTTTAATTTGATAGATGGATGGACAGACAGACAGACACATCCATCGGGGCGGCGAGGGAGCACCAGGAAAAGGTGAGTGTAAAGGGACAGCGCTGGCAGGCAGTTAATTAATAATTACGGTCGGACGACTGTTAGGCCCGGATCCAATGCAACACACACCTAATTGGCAATTAGAGATCAAAGGGACTCCGCTTCGAAAGAGGAACCCCAGAGAATGGGAGGGCACTCACCTCTGGCGACACAAAGTAACTGGGACTCTTCTCGATGGTTATCTGTCCTCGGAAGGAGTGCGGCATCTTCTTGCGATACCACTCCAGGCCCTTCAGATAGTTCTCGTCCCGATCGAAGAAGTGCACCTCGCCGCCGGCCTTCTGGATGCGCGGATGCAGATACAGCATCTCCAGCAGAGCCCTCGTCCCGCACTTTCGCACACCAATTATGAGGGCCTGGGTCCATCCGGAAGCGGAAATCGAATGAAATGTACATGAACATACAAATGCCATTGGCAGCAATTAGTACGAAACACACAGAGGCAAGAGATTTGGTACTCACCTGCGGCAGACGCCGACTCGTTTTGGGAAAGTGCACCCGACTGGAGGGAAAGACCATGGGATGGCTAAGCTGATTCGCGTTGGGCACTGGCTTCACAAAAGCAGGCAAATGATTGGATGACGATGAGAAGGAGGAGAAGGAGGAAGAGGAACCACTTGCAGCTGAAGATCCGGACAGGGCTGATGCGGAGGCGGAGGCTGCCAGCGAGAGGCGATGCCTTTCGTGCACTGCCTGAGCGGCTTGGATATTGTACACGGCACTGTCGTAGAGCACGTGGAATGTTAGGAACAGCGAGATCAGCATGACCGTGAGGAAGACGACGGCCAGCTTTGGACGGGAGACGCCCACCACCAGGATGCAGTCCGTGTGCGAGGCATCAGGTCCCGCCGGTCGCATCGCCGATTTCGGTAGCCATCTGTAAGCGGAACGAAAGTGATTTTTGATTTAGTTTTCCATCAGACCAAGTCCTTCCCATCGCCTACTCTGTGTCGCCCGGTAATTAGATTGCCATTCCATCGGTGCTGAGTAATTAACGTTGGGGCACAGCTAACACGAAACCCATCCTCTCTCTCTCTACCTGGCCCTTCCCCCTCGGGCGTTGCGAAATTAGCAAGACGACACTTTGCCGTGTTCTGGCACTCGTCCTCAGCCCCAGCCCAATTCACGTTCACGTTCTCGTCCTCGTCCACGTCCGGCAGCGCTTAAGCGAATTCCATTATAAACGTTTCCGCTTAGACCGCAACAAACACTGGCAGCATTATTATGAGCAGCATACTGCCGACACATCAGGCAGCAGGAGCCAGCAGAAGGAGTAGGCAAGAGGCCACGCAGCCGGAGCACTAGGCGTATACGTAACGTTGCCTAATGGATGACTTCATTTGCAGCATGCCGCAGCCGGTGCAAGAGAGCCAGAATGCAGGGTGCACGGGCATTAGCAGGTGACAGAAGGAGCTGCTGCTGTTGCTGCTGGGGCTGCTGGTGCCGTCAGTCTGCAGCTAAGTGCATTTTCATAGACAAGAGGTGTGCAGGGCTGGTGGAGGGAAAGGGCATGGAAAGGAAAGGCTAGGCAATGTATGGCAACAGGCAGGACCCCACCACACGCCCCTCTATCACCACTTGTTCGAGTTTCGCATGCGACACCTCGTTAAAAGTAACGACACACTGTGCCACAGGCCCGCAAGGAGTCGAGTCGAGTCGAGTCACTTCACTCGACGGCACCGTTTGTGGCGCACATTGCAACCTCAGAGCGAGACCAACTGACTTCTTCCACAGCTCTCCTCTCCACACTCTCTGCCAGCAGTTTTTTCCTCCGGGCGTCTTGTCGACATGCTTTAAGTCCGCCATTTCTTCATGCCCTGTTGTTTTTTCCCCAGTAGCAGCAGAAAGGGGGGCGACAGTGGCAGCAGTCGTCGGGACTGCGACTGGCCTCGTTTCACGCCCCATAGGGCTTGGGCCGCCTGCCACTTGACTGCGATCTGCATAAACGCAGCTGCCCCCCTCCCCGCCCCTTTCTGCTGCAGCTGATGCCACTGCTGTCACACGCTTTGTGGGGCTGTGGCAGGCTTTAAGCTTAAGCGTTGAGCTTTAAAGGCAACGCCGGCTCTGTTCCCACTAATCCTGACAAAACTGGCAAAAGTCTGCTTTCTTTTCGCCTTTCTCCTGTGCGTTAAGCGCTCTTCCGGCGCTCCATTTGTCCCTCTTTCGCTGGGCATTTGGCCTTCTTTTCGTTCCCTCCCTGTTAAGCTCGTTGGGCAAATATTTATAATATGTATTCTGATTCATTTTTACTTGGGAAAGCGTCGGAAGCATGAAAATCGAATCGAGCAAATGTTGTCCCGTTAAAGTTAATGCAATTTTCATTTGGCGCTCTTAAAATGTAAATTTTATTAAACCATCCAGACGTGACACGCTGTACACTCTGCCCCCTTTCCGCCACACCGCAATACCCCAAGGGAGGGGGACAGTTTGACCTTTTTTTGATGTTCTCTGTGTTTTCCACTCCTTATCGGAAAAAACCGAATCGAACCCCAGCCCACGCCTCCGCCTCCGCCCCCGCCACCGCCCCCAAAGGGAGACCCTAAATGATTTGTTGGCTCTACTCGTACTCACAGGATGTCCAGCGGCAATTTGACGGAGCAATCGCGCAGTGTCGCCTGGTGAGGATTCGTGTGCTGATGAGGATGCTGATGCTGTGGATGCGAGTTCTGCTGCTGCTGCTGCTGGTGCTGCTGCGGATGCTGTCTCTGGTGGTATTGCTGTAGGTGGTTGCCACCCCCGACGCCGTAGTGCTGATGGTGGTGGGGATGCTGCAGCAACTGCTGGTACTCGTGGTGGCCCTGCCCCTGCTGATGCCCATCCTGCCGTGGCAGATGCTGCTGCTGCTGCTGCTGCTGAAGGGATTGCTGCTCGTTGCTGCTGCTGCCCGCACGTCTTTTGGCCGCAGTCATCAGTGAGGCAGCGGTGTACCGGGAGTACGTTCAATGGAGCCCAAATGATAGCCGCTCTTGGCTGTAACTGCAGCAACTAATTGGCCAGTGCCGGCGCTCCACTCAATTGCAGCGGACAAGCAGCATGCAGCAAGGATGGGGGCATGGATTTATGGCCCACCCGCCGCCACGCCTCTTGGGCTATCGCCCTACTTGGACTCTTCTCCTCTCGGACTCTCTCTCGCTAGCTCGTGTTCTGGCTTGTTTTGCTCTTTAATTAAATTCCAGCAGATTGCCGGAGAATGTGTAATCGGAGTTTCGCCGTTACTCGCTCACTCGGTCACCGAAGCGGGCATTGACTGGGCGACACATAGGGCCTCATTTCCGTCAGGACGCACAAAGGGGAGCGGTCCCATCGCCGCCATCATCAACTTTAACATCCCTTGGACAACATCCAGGTTTGACCTTATTGTTGTTCCGTAATTAGATTTGTTGTTGTTGCTGTTGTCCTTGGTTCGATCCGGCGTCGATTCTGGCAACTTCTTCGCCAACTTTTGTGTTTCTGCTGCAAAGGCAGCTGCAGCCAAAGTTTCTCCCGGCTGTGCTTTTGTATCTTTTGTTGCTTTTGTTGCTTTTGTTGCTTTTGTTGCTGGACGCCATTGTCTGTTCTCCAAAAAATAGCGTATTCCAAGAGCTTCAAGTCAACTGCAAAGCAAAACAAGAGAGAGATACAGGAGAAATTGATTACAAAAGTCAAGGTAGTACGAGGTAGCGAAATCAATTTGATTTGCATAAAATTCTAATTAGAGCACGATCGATTTGGTTCAACAAATTAGGGGATTTGCAAGCCACAGTCTTTCAAACGCTGCGGATCATGGATCAGGGGCCTTGGAGAAGCGAAAAACAAATCGAATGGAGAGTGAAAGTGAAACTTCCTTTTGGCAAATAAATGGTCTTATATTTGATCATTGATTGTATAGTTTACACACACTAAAGATATCAAAAGGTAGAGTAAAGGTAGATGACAACAAATGAAAATCCTTGAGGTCACAAAATACTTTGATCTTTTTCTGGCAAGAAGCTCCCTCAAAAGTCGAATTATCTCTTCGATAATTTAGTTGAATTCCCAAAATGAATCCGACCTGACCTAAGGATAGACTACGGCTGCTACTCCCTCCCTTCCAATGGGCGATTACCATTTCCAAATTAGAAATTCAAATCGAGAGAACGTATGTCTGTTCTGTTCTGTTCTGTGTCTGAGAGTTGGATTCGGTTGAGGCCTAGTTGACAGGCTTGGGGGGAATATTTAATCAGTTCTCTGTAGCTTAGTGTAGCGGTGCCGACGCCCCATTCCAGTTTCGGACGTACGGGCTATAAAAAGCAGCGTTCGGTGGATAGAGCTGTATAGTGTTTCGATTTGCTTAACGGGTCCACCATGAACTCCAGCACAATTTTGGATATTTTCCGGACATTGCCAGCGGGTAAAAAACCGAGGATTTTGTCGAGTGTGACAGTGGCAGCAGCCCTTTCATCTCATACGCCCCCCATACTCCGTAGATCCGGTGAAGCTGACACTGTTCAGCAGCCCGCTCCCGGCTCTGCTGATCGTCGTGGGATATCTGATCTTTGTGCTCAAGCTGGGCCGTGACTTCATGGTCCAGCGGAAGCCGTTCAATGTACGGCGAGTGATGCTGGTGTATAACCTCTGCCAGATCCTGATGAACGCCGTGTTGTTCGGCCTTGTAGGTTAGTCCAGGGCCAGTGCTCAGACACATCTAACCCGTCTCCATGCCCTCCCTCAGGGTTTCTACTTCATCCTGGTCCGGCGAGTGTACGATCTGCGATGCATGGAAATGCTTCCACTGGACCATCCCGAGAAGCACTTCGAGCGCCTGGTCGTCTACGCGTACTGGCTGAACAAGGTGCTCGACCTGGCGGACACCGTGTTCTTTGTGCTGCGCAAGAGCTACAAGCAGATCACCGTACTGCATGTCTACCACCACGCCCTGATGGTCCTGGGTGGGCCCGTCATCTTCTACCTCTTCGGGGCCGGGGGCCAGCTCTGCATGATGGGCTTCCTCAATACCCTCGTCCATGTGGTGATGTACGCCTACTACTATGTGGCGGCCCAGTACCCGCAGATCAAGGGCAAGCTGTGGTGGAAGCAGTACATCACCAAGCTGCAGATGCTGCAGTTCGCCATTCTGTTCGTGCAGGCCACGCTGGTGCTCTGCCTCAATCCGGGCTGCAACTTCCCCCTCAGCCTGCAGTACCTCCAGCTGGCGGTCTCCACCTCGATGATGATCATGTTCGGGAACTTCTACTATCAGACCTACATCAGGGCAAAGAGCAAACAGCATTAATTACCAATAAAGTACAGCCCGTTCTGTTGGGTTCGCCATTCCTCGTTGAGTCTGAAACTTAAAGTCTTGTTCTAGTTCTAGTTCTAGATCTAGTCTCTAGTTCTAGCGCTAGTTCTGTTCTAGGTTCTCTCTATGTTTTCTTCTCTCTCCCTGAAATGTGGGACAGAGAGCGCAGTTCAAAGATTTGAATAATACATTATTTGATTCGATTAATTCCACAAATGCAGGTCCGAAAACATTTCAGTGTCTTTGAACAGTCAATAGGTGCCGTTCGGCCGACAATCAACGCTAGCGATGACGCTCGGTATTTTCGATATACCTCAAGGAGGTGCGAGACCCTTTATGTGCTAATCCGATAGTGCTTTTGTGGGCCAGATTCTCTAATCTCCGCTTGAAAACCAATCCACAGACCCAAATCCCATCCTCCTGGCCGGTTCGCCATGGCCGATGATCATCATTCTGGCGGCCTATCTGCTCTTTGTCCTCAAGCTGGGAAGGATATACATGAGAAACCGCAAGCCATACGACCTGAGGCGGGTGCTGATGGTCTATAATCTCGGCCAGGTGATCTACAATGGCCTCTACTTCGGAATCGTGAGTACCGACTGATAGGTGCCGCGGATCAGTGGATTGATTGTACTTTCCTTTCGCCATAGGTCTTCTACTACCTGTTCATCGAGGGAATCTGCAATCTGCGCTGCATGGAGAGCTTCCCGCCCGGCCATAGGTACCGGCAGCTGGAGCGGGTGGTGCACACCGCATACCTCGTGAACAAGGTGGTGGATCTGATGGACACCGTGTTCTTTGTGCTGCGAAAGAGCTACAAGCAGGTCACCTTCCTGCACATCTACCACCACGTGTTCATGGCCTTCGGGGGCTATGCGGTGACCCGAATCTACGGCACCGGGGGCCACTTCAACTCCGTCGGCCTGCTCAACACGGTCGTGCACACGGTCATGTACTTCTACTACTTCCTGTCCTCGCAGTATCCCGGCGTGAAGGCCAACATCTGGTGGAAGAAGTACATCACGTTGACGCAGCTTGTCCAGTTTGTGCTGCTCTTCAGTTACTCCTTCTACGTGCGATTCCTATCCGCCAACTGCCCCATTCCGCACAGCCTGCTCTACCTGAACATGTTCCAGGGCATCGTCTTCATGTATCTGTTCGGCAAGTTCTACATCCAGGCGTATGTCCGGCCTCCTCCTGTCCAGCCCGAGTCCCAATCCCAATCCCAGTCCCTGTCTCAGTCCCAGTCCCAGCCCCAGTCCATGCAGAAGCAGAAGCTGTCGTAACCAGCTCAATATGGCCGCGAATATACCCTGTTCATTACAGCAATATATGCGCATATCGATCAGCCAATCCCATGCGCATGCAACTAGCAACGACCCCATATGGATAGATTTCTGGACTTTCGAACATTTTGCGGAATAAATAAAACTATGCTAATGGCAAATGCCATATGCTATTATCCCAACATGTATTCATTATTTTCTTTGGAAAAGGCTCACCTACAGGACATCTTATTATCTGATCCAATACGATCGTATTCCTATGCCCGTTAAAGCGATCCAGACACTAGATATTTGTGCTACAGTATTTACCATTTAGAAAGAGAATAAAACGCACGTGTTTCACTCTCTTGCGGTATTCGAATGTCTCGTAGTTTCTGGCATATAGTACAATGAAGCGATCCAGTAAATGTATCGATGTAGACGCAGAAACACCATGGGTCTAAACGTTGTACCGTCCTTATTCTTGGCAAATAATGTAAACTGAATCAGAAAAGGGTTCTACAGCTGCATGGAGATGTCCTACACTCCATTCTTTTCTGATACTGATGGAGATCTCCGTATCTACCGGTCTTCCCCAATGCGTTCTTGGTAAGTGAATATTTCTCTATAGAACTTAAGCCCAAAGTATCTGTATATATTTGTGCATATACTCGTACTATACACAAAATATCCCCCATTGCTCATCAACTTTGTAAAAGGCAAAGATGCGAACGGTTATCCGGTGAGTGCGCCGTAAAGCAAAGCCGTTTAAGCATCGACAGAGTGGAAAACTGGATGCCGGAAAAACAACTTGGGGCAATCAGCCATACTCCTTGCCTTTGCACGCATCTCCACGGCTCCCTCTCCACCTCCGATGACCCGGTGTATGTGTGTTGTTTTTGCTCGTTTGTTAGCACGTTGAAAAAGCTTCCCTTGATAAGCATAAGAAATGGAGGCAAGGAAAGGAAACTAGCTAGCTGCAACAGTGTGTCTGTGTCTGTGTCTGTATCCGTATCTGTGTGTTTTGTGCAACGAGTGAATGCACATAACAAGCTTCTATCGTATCGTATCCCAAACCATCCCCCCCGAAAGATGGAGGCAACATAACTGTAGCTAAAGTCCGTGCGGCACGAGTCAAACTTAAGCCGAAAATTTGCCGTGCCATACGTACGTACAGATCTGTTGGGGGTGTGTCCCCCCACATAAGACCCTTTGTGTGGCAACCAAGATTCACTTGAAGCAACTGCATTTACTGCCTGGGAAAAACGAAAACAATTGCCGCAAATATGGCAAATGGCAATTGAAAAACAAAAGTCTCTCACTGGATCCGTTTGCTGGCTGCTTTCACACTTGCAACGATGCCGCATGCCAGAGACAGCACAAACAGCAGAGAGACCCTAGCACAAAAGGCCACTAAAGACAAGGACATGACAGGAAAAACACTGTAAAAGAAAGCGCAGAAGGTCGGAGAAAATGCAGCAGCAGTAAAAAGAAAAAATAACGCACAAAATTGGCTGTGAAATGAACGAGACGACGTCTCACTTTTGTGCTTTTGTTGGAAGGGAAAAATTAAGGGGGGTGTCAAGGGAAAATAGAAATAGGGCATGGCCCGGAGAGGACAGAGGCAAAGGAATCTGATGCCGTCAAAGGCAAATGCAAATCTCGGCTGAGACCATCAAGAAAGAGAAGGAAAAAGCTAGAGAAAGTTCGTAATTCCTTCGGTTAATGCTACGACAGACACTGAGACACAATTTCCAATCAATTTCACATGCAAATGAGCCATGGAAGCACCTGAGTTGTTTTAAAGCCCGAAACATACATTCTGTCATCTCTAAACATGTAAATAAATTGTGTTTAATTACGAATGGTCTTCGATTCCGACTCACTGAATACAATACAAACAATATGGTATACACGCATGCAGACAGGCAGACGGACAGCCGGACCGACAGACAGACAGACAGACACTAAAGATATCAGAAATGATGTGGCAAAAGGCCAAGGATTCAAGGAGTAGTGGCATACCCAGAAGCGACACGGGGACTGGCAAGTGCCTGGCAAGTTTCCCATAATTTACACTTTATCGAACAGCAACAAGCCACCTGCATAATATATGGCTCCACCCTGCTCCCCAATGGCAGCTTCTCCTGCCTGAAAGGGAGCCGAAGCTCTCCCACTGACTGGCGTTTGAGGTCACCAGCAGGGGGTAACCGTAACATCCTGTAAGTTCCCTCTTTCTCCCTCTCTCTCTCTTGTATGCAAAGCGGACGTCAATCAGAGCTGCCACAACTGCATTCTACATGATGTTGCACGTCGAAGCCAGAAGGGAATGTCAAATCCTGAGCACCTGTTAACCCACATATTTGTTGTTTGATCCGTGCGAACCCGGCAAGCAATTTACATTTTGGATTCCACCTCAAAAGCCTTACCATCCATAAAAGAATCGAGCAAATGGCGCATCTATGGGATGTGTGGCATCTCCGCTTCGTTTCGGTCGGTCGTTTGGGGAATATGGCACAATAAAATTTTAATTCCTAACGATTGATGGTCGCCCCGGTACATATCCCATACAGACAGGACTCTGTGTATTGCAGCACGCATCAATGGATGCCCAGGGATGCTCCAGGTCCTGCACAGGGATCCATTCAATACATTAAATTTTATAACCCAGCTAATTTGCATATGTAAGAGTGTATACACAGACGGGGATACGATATGTATGTGTGTGTGTGTGTGTGTTGATTGGATTTATTTGACTTTCAGGGAGGAAAGCCATAGAGCACAGGACGGGCGTGTGTGAGGGAGCGAGGCGACTCTAAGTGCCTGACATTTGCTAAATGGCAAAAGCACACCGCCTCCCTGCCACCTGCCGCCTGCCGCCTACCACCCCATGGCACTGACTGTTGTTGGGGCTACTCGTAACATTTTCCCCCCATCTAGGGCAAACCGAAAAGTCGCCTCGTTAGTACCTGAATGGGAAGTGTAATTACGAGCAATAACCAGACCCACAGCCCCCACCACACCACACATCAAGCCATAACCTTAGTCTTTCCAATCGAATCGAGCGGCTATAACCTTTAAAGTTCGGCCTATACCGACCGACCTTGGCCGCAAACACACATTTTGATGTGGCCTTTATAATGGCTGTAAGTGCATTAATGATTTACGGCTCAAAGGTTCTGTATTGTTGCTATTTCTGTGCTGAATCAAGTTTCTGTTAAATATTTACAGCAATCAGAATTTCCCCCAACTAGTTCTGTGTGGGGATTTTTTCGGCATTATCCCGGACAGGAGGAACAGTCTATTATCCCATTTTGAGATCCTATTTTCACCTTGTGCCAGTTATTTCTCCTGCTTGCTATTTATATCCCAATTTTATGTTGTAGTTTCATGTTAAACAGTCATTAAATAACCGAAACTCCCCACACATATATGTTACTTTAAAATGCTTTACTTTTTGCACAATTTACCAAATTATCTGTATCTGTATCTATATCTATATCGCTCTCCAACTGCAAATTACTGCAGTTCATTTGACTCTGGCAAATTGTATATTCAAATGTTGAGTACACATGGTAAATGTACGATTGCCCGACATGAAATGCAAAAAGAATGTGCATCCACTGACTAAACAAACCCGTTGGATAAATATTCGCAGGCCATAAACAAACAATCAGAACTGTCAGAAGGGGGCTACAGTGCGTGTATAATTAAAAGTATCCGTTGAATGGCGGTTTAAAGTCCGTAGATATCCACGATGAAGCTGAAGCCCTTGTTCCGCTGGCTCTTGAAGTGGATCTTCGCGTAGGTGGTCTGGGGACCGCCGGCCTGCAGATAGGCATAGCCGCCCTGCCCGTCGCGGACCTGGTCGGTGATCACGATTTGGGTGATGGTTCGGGCCAGTTTGGGCTTTTAACAACAAGTTGCAATTAATCTCTGGGCAGATCGCAAGGGGATAGTCGTGGTACAACTCACATTTTGCTTGAAGATTAAATCCCTTGTGACAACTCTCAAAAACGAGGACTTCTCGGTGATGATATCGCGCCGCAGATGCATGTCCCGGAAGGAGCGTGATCCCCATGTGACACTATGGCTGGGACCACGTCCCGCCGCTTGGCAGAGGGCTGTCACGGATATTATCACCAGAAATATGTAAACCCTCATATCGGAATCTTCCCTAGAGTATGGGGAACTGATCAGCAGATTCGGGTATTTTATAGGTAGTAACGTAGTTCTAAAAATATCCCACTATTGTCTCCGTGCAGCTGTACAGACGGTGCAAAGAAAAGACCTCGATTCAACCTTTTTCCCATTCAAAAGAATTGTATGAACCTTTCCCTGCATTCCACCTCGATGACTTCTCTCTCTAGAAATACTTTCTCAAAGACCTCTCCATTCGAGAGAAGGCTTGAGACTTTTGTTTCGCCCCGGGTTTCGGTTTCAGCCGCCATTTCGGCCGGGTCTCCTCTTGCGGTTGGCTGCTTTAAATACCGCTGGGTGCTGCGCCGTGTGGGTGTCTGGTTACGCTCCTCTCGCAGGCAGCGTAAAGCTTTAAGGCAAATATTTATTTAATTTTAACATCCCACGGCCCTGTTTCGGCCCTGTGCACAGATCCAATTTACTCAAGTACAAAGAGCCGACTCGAGCAGACCCTGTCGCGTATATTGTTGAAAATTTTATTGTGCAAACATGAGTACGTCAGTGCGATTGTCTCTCTCTCTCTCTCTCTCTCTCTCTCTCTCTCTATGTGTGTGTGCGTGTATCTACGATATGTATGTGGGTGTGTGTATGTTTTATGGTTGCCACGTTGGTTTTTCTCATTTGTGTGCACAAACAAACGCACAGAGAAACAGCAACAGCACAAACAAAATGGCCAAGGAACCGTTCCGTTGTTAAGTGCCCCTCTCTCTCTCCCTTTCTCTCTCTGTCTAGCTAGCTGTGTGTTGGTGTTTACCACAAAAAAATATACAAATAAAAAGACGATTCATTGGCAAACAAATCAGCAAAAATGTGAATTCGGGCGAACAATAAACTACAGCTGTAGGCGGCAATAAATATTTTCTGCTTTTTTTAGAGGGGTGGGGGCTATAGGCTTTTTTTAATAAAACATATCTTTCGCTTTCTTCTACAATTTTTTTCTTAAATATGTAAATATTCATTCCACACAAGGGTTTCCTTAGTTTTCTTTGCTAAAAAGACCCTGATGGAACCCCCCTGTATGTACTAGTGGATAAGCTCTACGCTCTAGCCATATTTACTATTCATCATCATATATTTGTATTAAGCTTTTATGTTTTTTCAAGCTACTTCACTTTTCGTACGAAAATGTCATTAAACTCTTTTGTGTATATTGTTTTTGGTGGAAATTGAATGCCTGGAATGGATGCGCACTAATTTAATTAAAACCGATCCACTACATCATGTAAATGGCGAAAAACATTGTGTTTACTGTCCGTCCCGTCTAACATATTGTTTTTATCATTTTTCATGTACATGAGATCCCTGAAAGTTGCTGAATTGTCGCGTTGTGGGGCAGCACTTGAAGCTGAAAGCGCTTTAAATAATTTTAATTAAAACAAATGGCACTCGAAATAAAACACGCACATCAAACAGCCAGAGGGGGCGGTTCATGGGAGTCTAGTGGTGGGTGGATTGGTGGCTGAATGGAACAGACATAGCGTGTAATTACGTCCGACGTATAGCGAAGCGAGGCACAGCCAGGGAGGGAGGGTCCTTGTTTGTGTTGGAATCAAGTGGTGGTGGTGGTGCTGCTGCTGCTGTTGACAGTGCACGGCAGCAACATCAGAGGCCACGGCAGCGACATTCGCACTACGCCACTACGCCACTACGCACAGCCCTCATTGTGGTGGCAACAGGGCGGGGAAGAGCAGAGCAGAGCAGAGCAGAGAGACACATAGATCCCTGGCACCGTGCTCTTCATTCGTGACAAGTTGGAGAGAAAGCAAACATGAATGGCGACGGAAGCAGAAGCGCACAGCAGACAAACTTCCCAACAACTTCATTTTCGGTGTTTTGGAGTGTTCTTACATGCCTTGTTCCTAGAGTTCAAAGGGTATATTGGGCGCAGAAACTATTTGCAACAGGCAGGACGAAGCATTCGCGAGCGGATCTTTATGTCTGCATAGGCACCGTGATCCAAGAGGCAATGAAAGCTAAAGGATCCACCAATATCCGACGCCATGGAGTCTTTGAGAATTACAGATCATTTTCAAATTATAGGGTATCCCATGGTCGCACTACGCAGCTTTAGGCTTCTTCCAATGGCTGCTGTTAAAAGTGTTGGTGGTTTCTCGCTGGTGTTGGTGCTGTTGATATTGTCAGAGTGGGTGTCACTGTTCTCTAGGCACGGTTCATGCTTGAATCATGCCTCCAGCTTACAACACAATCAAAGGACCCAGACCCAGAACCAGACATTAACCATACCGCTTAACCCTTATTCCTTCTGCGGCAGAAAGCAGAAACCCCATTGCAATTAGACTATAGAGCTTTCCAGCGGCGAAAAGGAGGGGAAGGAAGGTCCCCAAAATTACATTTAATCATTGTTATTTTAGGCACTCTGACCCCGTCCACTCGGACTGAGTGTTTCGCTGGCCTTTTCCCCGCCCTGCCTCATCCCCGGCTGACACAAAAGCCAAACAACAAATCCACGTTTATATATACACAATATATCCTGGGTGGCATGCTCGTAAGTACATTTGATAAAAAGCCACTTAGTGTGGCATTCTGGACTTAGCCAAAGCCCAACGAAATCTCCACCAAAATATCTTCCACACTCTCATCCATAACCCATTTAGGAGCTGCTTCTGTGGGATGGATTGGTGGTGCTACTGCTGCTGTTGCTGCTGCCAGAGCGCTTAACACTTTGGTCTTGCCACACTTTTTGACAATATCAAACTTGAGTGGCACACAGCTGACAGCAAAAGCGGGGGACAGTGGTGGCAGTGACTCGGGCGGCAAATAAATAACGTTTAAAGCGTAAATATGGTAAACGACGTTAACGGGCGGCGCCCTCAAGTGTCAGCTGGCGGCTGTCAAAGCCACAAGAGGCCATGGACACCCACACACTCTCTTTCACCCCTCGTTCCCACCACAGTTTGCCAAATTTTGAGAACATTTACATTATGATATTCCTGCATTACAAAATAATTCTGTCAAAATTTTTAAATATATTTCTAGAAGTTTCTAGCTTTTATTTATAATATTAACAGCAGAATGGCATAATAGATATCTCAAAGAATGGCTGGTTTACTCCTAAGTATTCAAGTCATAAATTCAGTGGAAAATATTTACTCATTTCCTTTTAAATTTGAGGATCAAAAGTTTCTCTGTCTCGGGACTCGTGCCTCTTCTTGGAACTGAATTGACAATGAAATTCGCTTTTTTTCCCAATTTTCCACTCTCGTGCCATTTAGAAAATTCCTTGGAATATGTTTCTCCTTATTTGATTACAGCCAAATAAATTTTAAATTCCTTGTAAAAAAGTGCAACATTTTTCATTCCGCTTCGTCCTTCAATGAGTTATGACCATGGAAAATAATAATCAAATGTTAGAGCAACGACCAGTGTACGAGTAGTATGTGTGCCTCTTCTTTTTCCCCCTGATCCACAAAGTGACAATGAGATTGCGCATACGCCGCTTGGCCCCAAGATGTTCCACTCACAATTACGCTGCAGAAATGTCGAGCATTATTAGAACGACACTTGTTGAAGGGCAATTGGAAGGGGATGGGGACGGGGATGGCGGAAAATCCTCAGCTGTCAGCTTCCATTGAGGTTCGGTTCGCCAAAGCTGCCAAAGACATTTTCAATGAATGCGAAATTCCCTTTCGGGCCGGGAATCACAGAGCTATAAAATTATTTCTTGGCATGCAAATTGCATTTCGACCAGAGCCACCACAGTCAAAGCCACAAGTGGGGTAAAGGGGGGGTGGGGTAACGTTGCATTTCCTTTTGGCTGCGCTGTCAACAGCGGATTGCAGATAAGCCCCAACCAAATGGATTTTCATGGATTTCCCCCAGCCAAGTTTCCTTCCAGTTTGGCGGACAACGAGAAATACTTTTCATATTTAATTGCAACGAGGGGGCACGAGCACCCCTGAAAGAACATGTGGCCAAATGCCGGTGCCAAAGTGCAGGCCAAGTGCCACAGAAAATTACATCAAAGGAATGAAAATTTGCCAACTTGCAATTGAAATTTGTTTGCCAACTCAAACACGAAGACGAACACGGTCTTGGGGGCCATGGGGGCCATGGGGGCCATGGGGGTCGTGGTTCTTGGGCATGTGGTGGCTTTGGGGCTGTTGCCCTCAAAAGTTAGTCGAAATTAGACGTGGCAGGCAAGTAATGGAGACACCCGAAAGGAAATGCTTATTATTTGCATAAGCTCCACACACACAAAGCCCCCGACAAGTGACAGGACAAACGAAGGGCCGAAAGAAATGCAAATTGTGCCGGAAAATTTAAATGTCAGTCAACAATTCAGTTGTTAAACTCGCATTACAAACAGAGACAGGGACAGGCACAGGCACAGGAGGTGGCACATGCTCTGGCTTTGGTTATACTGTTGCCAGGGACTGTGTCGATCTCAGGGCTCTGTTTTAGATGCTGCGCTTAATCGAAAAGCGTGCGTGCCAGATGGAGTGAGTGGGGGGCCGACTAGCTTATCATCTCTGCAAAGAAAAGAAAAGAAAATAAGAGGAGGGAAAACTTTCCTCACACACTGCCAGAACTGCCAAAACTTTTCACTTTTGTTTCGGTTTTCGGGATTTTCTTTGCAGCAGCTTTCGGTTCTGCCATTCGATGTCAATTTTAAGTTTTTGCGTTCTCTCGGTTCGGATCGGATCGGGTGTGCCGAAATAAAAGTTTTTTGTGTGCCACAAGTTTGGGGCAATTGTGCGAATCCTTTCGGCCGCTGTGCCGCTGTGCCGCTGCAGCATGCAGCATAATCGATTCGCATCTTGCCTTTTTCATTTTAATAACTTTTTCACGACTCCCGACCGGCAGTGCAACAATTACGTGCAGCAAGTGCAATAGCAGCAAACAACTAACAAGCCAACAAACCAACAAACAGCCAACAAACAAGCGCCAGCCATCGACAACAATGGCAACAAAGGACGGCCATAAAACTGCGCCATACAGCGGTAGAGGAAGCTGGGCACAAAACTGCAAACTGGGTTAAACACTTGGCCAGAGTTTCCGCCAGAGTTTCCACCTGAGCTTCTTCCCTTGACATTTCGCCGGAGTGCAACTTTGTTGCTGCTCCGCGATGCATTCAAGTGGCATGTTGCCTTGGCTCGGCCATAATTGAGGCACGCGCTAAGCGCGCCGCAGCGGCGGGGGCAATGCGAAATCATTTCTGGTCGAAACCCCTTTCGGAATGCAGGCTATGGTTGGATCCAATTACTAGGTGCCACGTAGTCGGGCCATAGCACATTCTGTGCAATTATTGCTGCAACTTCCACTCACCCAGAAGTTAATTTCCGCTTGGGCGCCGCAGCTGCAACGAGAGAATGCGAATGGAGAATAGTTTATAATTAATATTAACGCATTTTCGTTTCAATAATGAATGGAGCTAATTTATTTACAACATGCCAACCGCAAGCGCGGGCTGGGAGCCCCCTTCTCCCTGGTGGGCAGGAGGCCGTGTCGGAGCAGCATTTGGGGGCAGCGTAGGGACACGGTTTTTGTGTGGCAGGTGGCAGGGCAAAAGTTTCATTTTGTCAGAGCTGTGGCAGCCAACGCGTTTTAATTCAATTGAAAATGATTAAAAATTAATTCCAAATTAAATGTAAGCTCAATGAAATTGTAGTTAAAAATTGGAAACAGAAAAGGGGCGGAAGAGCGGGGAGGCTGAGAGAGAAAGAGAGACATATTATTGACATGACGTGACAAAAGGGAGAAAGAGAGTGCGAAAACGCTGGGTAAAAGTTGATTGGATGGTAAATGTCGAAACTTAAACGAAAGAACACACAATCACGCACACGCACATCATCACATACGCGCGTGTGTGTGTGTGTGTGTATGTGTGTGGAAGCGGAAACGGAAGTTGTTACAAAGTCTGTTGAAATCAATTTAAAAAGTAAACTTGTTACGTAGAAAAACCGAAACAAGAGAAACCGAAACGGAAAAAGCAAAGAGGAGCCAGGAAAAATGGGAAAACTAATTGCACAGGGCACACTTTTTTGCTTGTTAATGGGCCTGCAAACGAGCTTCAAGTTTTCCCTCCTCCTATTGATTCCTACACACACACACACACACGGGCGCTCCATTTTGTGGCACCATGAAAGTTTTTGCCTCATTTCGCTGGCCCTCATTGTTTTTGCACTCTCGAAAATCTGCGTGTGGCAGGGGCACGGCACAGCCCTTTTGCAGCTGCAATTAAAGTTAGTTGAGGACCGCTCCACCCCACAGCCCTCCTCACAACTACCACCAGTACTGTACTGCACTTTAATTAACCCAACTCCAGGACTCCATTCTGCAGGACTGCATTCTCCTTTCCCAGCTAATGGCAATTTATGGGCGATAATTTATGGTCTAAATACATAAAAACAAGTGAGAAAAAGGGGAACAAAGGAGCGAACAAGGGAATGCCAATACATACTCTTTAATGGTAAAAGCTTCACTTAATGCAGATCGATTTTCTCTACAAAGAGAGGAAACTTTTGTCAACAATACCCTGATCCTGCCTTTCCAAACTCAAAACTCAATTTGGAAACACACAAAAATACCCAGTCAATGGAGTCTCTGAGTTTTCACTTGAACAAAATTTGTTTGGTCGAAAGCAAGGCCAGGCCTCAGTTCAGTTTAAGGTTTTTATTCATACGAGAAACATCTAGCTACAAATTCAAATTGTTAAGTTTTTTGTGAGCATCCATTTTGACTTATACTTTTTCCAAAATTGTTGTACCTTTTTTTGAGACAAAATGTCAAGCTCTGTTTCAAATTCGAGCGATGAATCCGAGATTAACTATCTTTTATCGTGTAACTCGGAAAACGCAGAAAGCAGCGGCGTGCACCCAATCAAGTCAGCAGAGGAAAATCCAAAGTCCTCATCGAAAACCGAATTGGGGAGCAGCGACGTCGATGTCGCCCTCCCAGATTCGTCCAGAAGGAGCTCCGCTGTCGCGTTTTTAAATTACATGCGGGAATGCAAGCGCCGGTTTGGATCCAAGCACCTTGGGCAGGGGTTTGCAAATGCCGCGACGAAACGTTGGAGGGCGATGTCCCCAGAGCACCGAGCCCGGTACCGACGGGTGAGTTCCTTGTGCATCTAAGTCCACCAGTGAGTGCAGCAACTCTTTTGTGGTCCCAACAGTCCGAATATCGATCTGCCAGATCCATAAAGCCAAGCAAGAGCAGCCTGCTTTGCAGTGAAGAGGAGACTTTAGACAGCACGGGAGCTCTTTCAGTGGTTCCTTCGGGTTTCTCCCTGGACAAGGACTGTGACATGAAACGCAAAAGAAAGCGCAGCTGCGGCAAGTCTAAGCGAAAGAAGTCGGCTTGTGGCAAGCGCAGACGCAGGAAGTCCGCTTGCAAGAAACGCAAGAGCCGCAAGTCTAAGAAAAGCTGCTCGAAGCCACGCCGCCGCAAGTCCCGCAAGGCGAAGTGCAAGAAGGGTGGGGATCCCCACTAAGGTGGTATTGGACCAGAGAGAAATTACTGTAAATTCGCACAACGGGCGGGGAAACCTCCAACCTGTCTCGATTTGGACCTGAAGAAGCGGCACCAGGGACAAAGTCGCGAGCGATGATCCGCGATTCTCAACCTCTGTCGCTGCCCAGCCAAGAAAAGGAACTTCAAAGCTTGGAAGGCCCCAACCCAACTATTCGTGACACATCGACCTCTTACCACCCACCAATAAATGTATGTTTTCTTTAAATAACCTAATTTCTGTATCAGTACGTGGAATTGTCCAAGATGTTACCATCGCATCCAATCATCTCCAGAATGATAATATAGTGGCATAAAAACTTCCAAAAAGTGCCAGAAATAACATATAAACAACCGCTTGCTATGTTTTCTCCGAAATATTTCGATTGAATTTCCGTTGGACCGATTATTCGGAGGGTAGCCAATAATTAATACTTTTAATAATTCAGAAAATCAACCTTTGGCTTCCTGTTGTCGCTGTTCCATAAAGCGTACCGCTGCCGTGCGACTAATATTATTTTATTTGGCTTGGATCTAAGCGGTTACTGGTTTTATTCAGGTTTCCCTGGACGTCTGGAAACAAAAAAGGGAAGATATCCAGATCTCCCAATTTGACGACTCCGAACTTCTTTTTGTGGGGTTATTTGAAAAGCAAAGTTAACGCCAGCAAACCATAGAAGAGTTCAAGGAGAACATTGGTGCCATACCACCCGAGGATCTCCAAAAAAGTATTTGAGGAATCTGCCAAAAAGGCATGTTTTATTGTGTCCAAGAAATGTGGCCACTTGATTGATATTGTGTTTAAAAATCATTTTGAATAAATTCGAAATGACCAAATTATATAAAAATACCTCGTAGTTTAAAATCGGTTGTTCGATATTTACACAGCGTACTAAAAGATGGCGCATCTTGCATATATTTATTAGTACAGATATCTTGTGTGTTTATATCATCTCCACTTTTAAGTAAGGGACTGACCAGAAGGTATCAAATCGTATTCTAATTTATTTCATCTTTTCTCTGCAGTCGGCTGTGTCTGCAAAGTTGGGAGTACCGGTGGGAGGCGAGCTGTGATTGATTTTTTGGTCATTGTCCTAGTATCTCATCCTTGACGAGTTTGTGGAGAGTCTGTGTGGAGAGACCTTGGTGCCTGGGTGATGGTTCTCAGGATTCTGGACTGTGCTCGCTGGACAGTGTCGAATTTTCTTTATAAGAGGACTTTATAGTCCCAGCTTAGGGGAGAGTGACGGTTTATTAGCCAGTGGAAATCTGGCTGTGAGAAGCGTCTTCTTGGCTTCTTTGGGCTGCCGCCAGGTGAACGTCTGTCCAGATGGACGCCCAGGTATATTTAGCACGACGCGTGCCTTGTTTAGTACCAAAGGAGGACAGCTGTGTTTGTTAAGAGTAAAAGCAACATGCTTTAATTTATGTTCGTTGTCGCCATCACTCAGCAGTTAATAGATGGAGGACTAGTTGTGCCGGTGCCTTCACTGGGCATCTGGTGTCATCAGCAAACGTTGAGGTTGTTACCTGGTTATGTTAAGGCATTTCCGTCATGCACGGCTTTGGGCACTCCAGCTTCGATTATGTTACATCTCACGCCCAAGAATTGACTCGAGCAGCTTATGGGTGTTTTGTGGCAGCAGCTTTGTGATTCCTACGTTTTTGAATAGTGCCTTGCAGTAATCCCGCTGTTCAAATGCAGTACGCACCTCTGACGTGATGCGGTTGACCTGATCATCGTTAAGTGCTTTTCTCGAAAGCCGCATTGATGCGATGGTACTAAGTTGGTACAATGCGCTTATGTGCATTTTTCAAATAGCTTTAAAAGACATGTGAGCAGGTTAATTGGTCTGTACGACTATGGCTGCCTTTTAGCAATTACTTCTCCCAGCTAAAATGTGCATAAATTTTCCACAAAAATACCCAATCAATGGAGTCTCTGAGTTTTCACTTGAACCAAATTTGTTGGGTCGAAAGCAAGACCAGGCCTCAGTTCAGTGTAAGGTTGTTATTCATACGAGAAACATCTAGCTACAAATCCAAATTGTTAAGTTTTTTGTGAGCTTCCATTTATAACTTTTAGATTTTCCGAAATTTGTTGTAAATACTTTTGAGATACAATGTCAGTGTCCGGTGTAAATTCGAGCAATGAATCCGTTTTACGCACTCAATTCGCTTCCTCAATCGAATTGGAAGTCGACAATGCAAAGCCCTCATCGGAAGCCGAATTGGGGAGCAGCGACGTCGATGTCGCCCTCCCAGATTCGTCCAGAAGGAGCTCCGCTGTCGCGTTTTTAAATTACATGCGGGAATGTAAGCGCCGGTTTGGATCCATGCAGTCCGGACAGAAGTTTGTAAACGTCGCGACGCAGCGTTGGAGGGCGATGTCCCCAGAGCACCGAGCCCGGTACCGACGGGTGAGTTCCTTGTGCATCTAAGTCCACCAGTGAGTGCAGCATCTCCTTTGTGGTCCCAAAAGTCCGAATATCGATCTGCCAGCTGCATTAAGCCAAGCAAGAGCAGCCTGCTCTGCAGGGAAGATAATGAGTTAGACAGCACGGCAGCTCTTTCAGTGGTTCCTTCGAGTTTCTCCCTGGACGAGGTGGACTGTGACATGAAACGCAAAAGAAAGCGCAGCTGCGGCAAGTCTAAGCGAAAGAAGTCGGCTTGTGGCAAGCGCAGACGCAGGAAGTCCGCTTGCAAGAAACGCAAGAGCCGCAAGTCTAAGAAAAGCTGCTCAAAGCCACGCCGCCGCAAGTCCCGCAAGGCGAAGTGCAAGGGTGGGGATCCCCACTAAGGTGGTATTGGACCAGAGAGAAACTACTGTAAATTCGCACAACGGGCGGGGAAACCTCCAACCTGTCTCGATTTGGACCTGAAGAAGCGGTACCTGGGACAAAGTCGCGAGCGATGATCCGCGATTCTGAACCTCTGCCGCTGCCCAGCCAAGAAAAGGAGCTTCAAAGCTTGGAAGGCCCCCAACCACCTATTCGGGACACATCGACCTCTTACCACCCCCCAATAAATGTGTTTTCTTAACCTGCTCTAATTTCTGTTTCAATTTAGTCCGATACGGGAATTTGTCCAAGAAGTTACCAACGCATCGGGTGCGATTTTTTCCAGAAGGATCGCGGGGGCCCTAGAGGATGTATAGTCTCGGAGAACTAGGCTTCAAACAAGAGGCATGAACGGACTGTTGATGCTGATCAATACTAGATATACTTTATGGGGTCTGTCCTTCATTCTGGCTGTAACATGCACGTACACAAATCTAATATATCCCTAAACTCTTCGAGTACCGGCTATAAAAGGAAAACATTGTCCAAACGGATTTGAAATATTAATTTATTAGAGGAACGTATTCCATTGGCCAAATCACTTTTTGAAGCATGCACAATCTGCAAGCGGAATGGAATGGGAAATGCATGAAATCCGAATGCAGATTGCAATCTGGTAATCAATGGGAATTTAGAGAACTGAAATCGATTTCGCTTGCAGCCGACTAAAGCCCCTCCGTCAAAGCGTATCGGGAATGCAGAAAAAAGAGGAATCCATTTGCATTCGACTTAATTACTAGTGAGTGCTTGTGCTAGTGCTAGTGCCGCATCTAAACCCACGACCAGGCCGCCACAGTGCAGGCAATCAGCACTATCAAAGGCATTTAATTGCCATAAATCTGGAAAAGTTGTTAAAAACCCATTTAAAATTGTCACCAAAATGGAACGCTCAACTGCTGCCTCAGTGGCATTTATCCAACTATCTGCCAGCCGCCATCCGCTTCTCTCCACTGCACACCACTCATCCTCTGGCGGATTCCACTCCTCCATCCAATCTACGTCTTGGTTGAGCTAAGGAGCTTGGCCTGTAACTGGCAGCATGTTTCCTGCTTCCTGCTCCTTGCTTCTGTTCTTCTGTTCTCCTGTTGAGCTTCAGTTTCAGGCTGCACTCGCAGTTGCAGTGGCTTTCGTGCTGGGATGTTAATTAGAAAACTCTTGAAAATTATTAAAAACTTTCCGAGCTGTCAGACAGACAGGCACAAAGACGGAGAGGTGGATACAGTGAGAGAGTAATAACCCAAAGAGCTGCCAACTTAGTGGGAAATTTCGTGAGAGAGCTTTGCTAGTAGATGTTTGTTGATGACTTTATGAAATATCTTTTGCTTTGAGAAGAAATTGGTGGCGTGTACGTGGTGGTGGAGAAACTCTATAAGAACTCCGGGGTTAAAATTCATTAATTAACTTTGCTTAAATGCTGAAATTCGAAGAAAATCTAGGGGAAGATAGTCGAACCAGAGGGGACGATTGTGGTGCATTAATTGCGACATCATGTTTATGCATCTGTGGTTTCGTTATACTATCTGTGGCTTATTTTAATCTTAAATCGCAACGTAAGAGGCTTCCGCATTTCACAACTCGCTAATCCCTCCAGCCCTTGCAATGAGAAATGTCCCATTCAACGCGACCAATGAACATGATATCTCTAATAGATCCCATCTCAAGTGTCTCAGTCTCAGTCTCGGTCTGGCTGGCATCTGTGCATCGCTCACTTAGCGCCTTTTATTAGTGCCAATTAAGAATGATTCCGAGCTGTTTTCGAGATGAGATTACAGCCCCGGTCCGCCACGAACCAGATAAGCGAGTGTGGGTTTGACATTGTCGCACTGCTCTGGAAGTATCCACGTATCCGAGCATCTCGACTGTGATTAGTAAGTCGCGCCACCTCAAGGCGCACAGTTCACGCGAATCGAATCTGAAGATGGAGGTCACGAAGGCTACGAAACCAACGGAGCAGTGGGACAATGGCCTGGAGTTCCTCTTCTCGTGCATCTCCCTGTCCGTGGGCTTGGGCAACATCTGGCGGTTCCCGTACATTGCCTTCCAGAACGGCGGCGGCACCTTCGTCATTCCGTATCTGATTGCCCTGCTGGTGATTGGCCGTCCCGTGTATTATCTGGAGATAGCCTTGGGCCAGTTCACTGGCCGCGGAGTGGTCAAGGCCTTCGATATGGCACCCCTGCTCAAGGGCGTGGCAGTGGGACAGGTGCTGGCCACGGGGGCCTCGATTACCTACTACTCGAGCATCATGGCCCTGACCCTGAGGTTTCTGGTGGCCTCCTTGGGCTCGGAGCTGCCCTGGAGTCGGTGCTGGGAGAAGTGGGGCAGTGATTGCCATGATGGAAGCATCGTCAATGCCACGGGAAAGATGTCCCCCGCCCAGCTGTACTTTGAGTGAGT